ATTCCTAACTAATTATCCCCATCACCATTATGCCCACTAAGATTTCTTTCAAGCAAAACTCCATTAACTTTATGTGCCAACAGTGGGACAGCTATTTTGGCAGAAAAGTTTTATTGGCAATGATAAATAGAAAAATTATTTGTATGCGGCTTCATTCGCCATCAACATTCAAAACTACACAAGCGGACAAAATTGGCGACTTAATTTTTCCTCTCCTCTACCTTCCATTTTCCTCCACTGTATCATCAAAAAATAAAATTTTCTTTGAACTTCTTTGAACTCGTACTTTCCAACGTTAATGATGAAACTTTTCGCGTGCTCGTTGTTTATTTATGAGTGGAGAAGATGAAAGTTCAGTCGGTTGTCTGTCTGTTGTTGATATTGTTTTGTTGATGATGATGATGATGTTGTTGTTGTTGTTGATGATGATGATGATGATGTTGTGGTTATTATTGTTGCTGTTGTTGTTGATGATGATGATGATGATGCCGCTGTTGTTGTTGATATTGTGGCTGTTGTTTCTGTTTTTGTTGAGGTTGTTGTTGATGTTGTTGTTGTTTGTTGTCAATGCGGTCGTTGTGCGTGTTTATTTCATTTGTGTCACGTTTCAATTTGATATTTTTAGTAATTTTGAGGTATTTGTTGTTGTAGGTGATGAGTGACACGAAGAATACGTTGCTGTTGTAGCTGCCAAATGTGTGGAAAAACTCAGAAAACTAGTTGTTAAATTGTTAGTTTAGTACCACAAAAAATATTTTTGACGATAAACGAGTAAACTAAATGATACAATATCATGATACATCATGATACAATAGGAAAATAATGTTGGCGTAAGAGTGAAAACTCTAGTTTAATACGATGTTAAATTGAAGGACTTTATTGAAAATAAGTAAGTAGCATGAGAGTGAGTGAGAAAATGGTGTTGGAATTGAAGAAATTATATTTTACAACAGCCTTGCACATTATGCGCCTTCCATACGCATACATCAAATTACTTCCCAAGCACAGTGGCCAGTTTTTTGTTGTTGTTTCACAGCAGCAGTCATAACGCGTTTAATTTATTGGTGTGTGTGTGGGTGTGCGTGTGTGTGTGGGTGTGTGCGTGTGCTGTTTTGTTGTTGTTTTGTTGGGTTTTCGTTGTTGAGATATTTTATTCAATGTTCCATGTTATATGTTGTTGTTTGTTGTTGTTTTTAATTTGTTGTTTGTTTTTTCTTGTTCTTTGTTGTTTTTTTTTAATTTGTTGTTTGTGCAATAACATTGTCTGATGTTTTTTCGTGCTAGAATTTTTGCTGCTGTGAGTTTGTAGTTGTTTCATGTTAAATTATTGTTTCTCGTCGTCGTTGTTATTGTTGTTGTTGCTTTTTTGGCGGCTTTGTTTCATGGGTTGTTGTTGTTTTTTACTGCTGGTTTGTTTTACCTTTTTAAAAAAAGTTTTAGTAATTAAAAACCAACTCGTAAATTTTCAAAATGTTGTGCACCCCAGCGCATAATAATGATTCTGGATGAAGATGATTGATTGCCCGGAGATGTGTCCACTCATCCACTCACTTCCTCGTTATCTCTCTTATTTAATTCCTTTTTTAAGCATTATTTATCTATTTTTATCACCCATTCATTTTTTTTATTCGCTATATTCTTTTTAATTTTTCATCACTCACCTTCTCTATCATTATCACATTTTCATTCTTTTTCACTCACTTACTCACTCACTCACTCACTCACTCCTTCATTCAGTTTTCCCTTTTATACTTTTTCACTCATGCACTCACTCAATTATTATCTCACCTTAATTCTTTTCGACTCAAACAGTCATTCCATCCGCTGTCCTCATAATTCCCTATTCCCAGAACTCTAAACGGGTTTTTCTCTTTCCGTTAAGTTTGCGGACGTAGTTGTAAGGACTACTTACTCATGGAAAATTTATTAGAAGTGGTCATTGCAACTGGAAGTGTAATCTTATTTTCCAGTGTAAATTTTTAATATACACCACTGGTGTTTGTTGTTGTTGGTTGGTTTGTTGGTTGGTTTGTTGGTTGGTTGGTTTGTTGGTTGGTTGGTTGGTTGGTTGGTTGGTTGGTTGGTTGGTTGGTTGGTTGGTTGGTTGGTTGGTTGGTTGGTTGGTTGGTTGGTTGGTTGGTTGGTTGGTTGGTTGGTTGGTTGGTTGGTTGGTTGGTTGGTTGGTTGGTTGGTTGGTTGGTTGGTTGGTTGGTTGGTTGGTTGGTTGGTCGTTGAAAATGTTTTAACATTTGTTGTTGGTTGTTGGAAAACAGTGAAACTGTTATAACAACATTTATTGTTGGCTGTTGGAAAAAAGTAAAAATTTTGTAACATTTGTTGTTGATTGTTGGAAAGTAGTGAAAATGCTGTGACCTTTGTTGTTTGTTGCTGGAAAATTGTGAAAATGTTGTAACGTTTGATGTTGGTGGTTGATAGGCATTGAAAGTGTAGAAACAACTTTTGTGTAGAACTGCACAACATTAGGGTAAAGTTTTTTTAA